AGAATGACTTACTTTTGAAAAAGAAATTTTTTAAAACACTAGAAAGAGAATTTACTAAAGTGGTTTAAACGTGTCTTTCAATTCAACAGAAATCCTGCAGTACAGAAAGTATCTTGTACCTTTAAAGTTTCAGAGTAAGTTGACCTTCTGAAATGTTAATGCCCTTTAAAAAACCAAAGTCAAACAGAAGACTGCTGCAATAAAGCACTGTTTCTAAAAGTTGTAGACATGATCCCACAGTCTGAGAGTTAGCAGTACTCCTCAGAGTAAGCAACTTTCCACCTCTTCTTAGGCACACTAAGTTTTCAGCTTAGAAAATAATCTAACCTGGCCCTTAACATATTAAGTAGTATGAATATTTCAAAGTCTTTTTCTCTCAAAGAAAAGAATTTGAAGTCTCACTAAGGAGTAATAAGAAGTATATCTAAGTTTTAAACATTAGACTTTCTAAAATTGGCCCAACTGTATAAAACTTTAAGAATTATGTGAAAATATGGAATTATTTCTCTAGGAAAACAGTGTGACAAAATTAGACATCACTATGTTGAACCCTTTTTTAGCTTTAACTCAAAAATAGAAATCACGAGACTTCTTTATTTTAAAAATACACAGAAGTAAAAAGTGCTATTTTTCAAAAAGTACAATATTTTTCCTACTATCAACATGGAATGATTTCAGGTCTCCTGTACTGAAAGCTGGACTTTTAAAAAAGTAGTATTGTAATACTTAATATATTATTAATCATTAGTGGCTTCAGTTTCAGCTGAACTCCTAATTAGACTTCAAATTCCTCTTTTTCCTGCAGGACCTTTTGGTTTTGCAAAACTTTGCTTATGTGCCTGCTGCTTGGGTGTACCTCTTCACAAAGGAATTCTACAGTCAGCCCATCCCCATTGCCTATCTCGATCTTTCTAATAATATCCATTTGTAGTTGTCTAATTTCTAGCAGAGGGCTCTTGCAGCTGGAATACAACATCAGCTCTCTTCTCCCACCCTGCATGTATATCCAGTCATTGAATAAATAAAAACTATGGACTCTAAATAGTCTCCTTTATGGAAATGTTTATACAGAAAGAAATAGTAATGTGCTGAATCCTTGGGAATCCTCTTTGACAAATCTTTTAGTTCTGTATTTGCTGTGTTGGCCAAAATTATATTTTCATTTTTTACATCTCATTTCAATTGCACATAGTTGAGCTGTTATTCAATTTTTCCAAAGCCTGAAAATCTTAAATAGGAAATGCTATTCCTTGAAGTGTTTGATGCTTAGTGTCCATATCCATGTCTGTGTGTACCTTGGTAATTTTAATCTGTCGTAATTTTTCCTCAGCTGTAGTCAATGGGGCAGGAGAAGTTTGTGACAGCAAATATTTTTTTATATTCACGTAATGATATATCTTCCTTTACTGTTCCAAATACTTCATCTTTAATGTGGCCACCTCAAACTCCTTTTCTAGAGTTGCTCTTGTTGTTGCATACATTTTTTGACAAACATGAGAATGGTCTGGAGATCATGCAGTGAATATCCATTCATATCCCTAGGCATTCTGAGAACCTAACCTGAATATGTGGCATGGTTGTTTGTCCTCCAACAGGTGTAAAACAAAGAAATCAATCCTTATCCCAAGAATCTGAAGGCTGATTACATGATCCAATCACAAGTTTGCAATAGATATTCTTTTTATTAAATTGATTGGGGTGACATTGGTTAATAGAATCATATAGGTTTCAAGTGTACAATTCAATAATACGCCATATGTGTACTGCTTTGTGTGTTTACCACCCGAAGTTAAATTTCCTTCCATCACCATATATTTGATCCCCTTTACTTTTATCTACCTTCCTTCTCTCCCCAAAATGGAATATACAGACTTTTGAAAATATCTGTCGATTATCATGTTTGTTTGTTGCTTTCAGTTTTAAGTTCTACATAAGATTTCACTCATATATGGGATATATATGTCCTTGCAGCTGAGATGTGTCTCTTGAAGGCAGCATATGGTTGGGTTTTGTTTTTCAATCCAATCTGCTACTCTATGCCTTTTTATTGGTGAATTGTCCATTTATATTTTGTTTTAGGTAGAATAACCCCCTTTAGTATTTCCTGTAATGCAGGCCTTGTGGTGGAAAAATTCTCTCAGCTTCTGTATGTGTGGAAAGGTCTTTATTTCTCCTTCATATCTAAAGGATAACTTTGCTGGATATATTATTCCTGGCTGATAATTTCTCTCTTTCAATAGTTCCAATATTTGATTCCACACCCTCCTAGCTTGCAGAGTTTCTGCTGAAAAATCCGATGATAATCCAATGGGATTTCCTATGTAGGTTACTGTTTTCTTTTTCTTAGCTGCCTTGAGAATTCTTTCTTTGTCATCAGTTTTTGACAATTTTAATATAATGTGTCTTAGAGAAGGCCTTTTTGGATTGAGATAATCAGGCGTTCTGTTTGGTTCTTAGATTTAAGGCTTCAGTTCTTTCCATAAGTTTAGGAAGTTCTCATCAACTATTTGTTTAAATAGGCTCTCTGTTCCTTTCTCTCTTCTCCTTCAGGTATACCCCTTATTCTTATATTGCTCTTTCTGATGATGTCAGATAGTTCTTGTAGAGTTCTTTCATTTATTTTCACTCTCAAGTCTCTTTTTCCATCTGTGTCATTTCCAGATTTCTGTCTTCAATATCACTGATTCTTTCATCCATCTGGTCAGTTCTATTTCCTAAGCTCACTATTTCATTCTTCATCTCTTTTATTGAGTTCTTCAGCTCCAGAATTTCTATTTGGTTCTTTTTTAAAGTTTCAATCTCTTTGATAAAGTATTCCTTTTGTTTGCTGATTATATTTCTGAGTTCATTAAACTGCCTATCTGTGTTTTCTTGCATCTTATTTTTTCAGAACCGCGATCTTGAATTCTCTGTAATTTAAATTACATATTTCCATGTCTTTAAGTTATTTTCTGGAGAATTTCATTTTCTTTCTGAGCTGCCTTGTTATCTTAGTTGTTTGTGGTATTTGATGGATTTTTTTCTACTCCTAGGCATTTATGGGAATGAACTCTGCTTTTTTATTAAGGGTGATACCTCTTTAGCAGGTTGATAAGAAGAGGTTTTACTTTTGTTTTCCAGTAGGTGGCACACAAGCCTTCTGCATTGCCCAGGCCTCCTGGATGTGTGCTGGGCAAAAATTGCCCTTTATTCCTAGGGGATACTCACTAGTGTCTCCTCTGTGACCAGGTTGCCTCAGCTTCAGGGCTCCACTGCTGTGGGAGAATGTGGTAAGTAAGGCCTGGAGCTGCCTCCAGCAGCCAGATGCAATGTTGTGCTGCTTGAGGTATCCCAGGTGCCTATGCTGGAATCAGGCTCAATGGGCGGGAGCAGGGTGGGTTGGGAGAGGCCACTGGTGTGTTTGCTGCTTTGCTTTCCTCCCAGTAATGGCGACTGCCAGACCCTAGCTGTCTCGGCTCTATATCTCCACTCAGTCACTGGGATTAGCTGCAGTGTGCGTCTGCCTCTCAAAGCTGACTCTTCAGTTCTCTGGGCTGTAGATACTCTGCTCTGTAGTCGGACACTCACTGAGAGTTTCTTCTGGGGTCTACTGCTAGCTCTGGGAGGGTGCAGGAAGGCAAATTCTAGGAGGGTAGGAGGAGGTTGTCATGTGCAGTGGCTTTGTTTTCTGCCTGACAGTCATGGCTGCTAGAACACAGCTGTCACGCTTCTGTATTTTGGTCTCTACCTCTATAGATTGATCGCTGGGTTCAGCCATAGTATATGATGATCACTCAGGATGAATGTTTGGGGCTACAGAGCGTGCATGAAGCAACCTGATTCCTCCCCTCTTCCCGAGTCCCACAGTGAGCTCCAGGCCAGTACCCATCCCTGTTCTCTTCCGATTTGCCCCAACTCACCCACCTTCAGATGTTTCAGTGTGCAGATCTCTAAGAAGTGTTTGTGTGTTAGTCTAGAAATCCTTGATTGATTATAGCTGTTCAACGTGATGTAATTTCAAGGAGAGAGATCAAAGGAACGTTCTCTTACACTGCCATAATTCTGACGTCACTTTTTCATTAACATTTTTATCCATTTGCTTTATCATTTTCATTGCCTTTTTTTTATACACACACATGTGCACACACATACAGTTTTTTTTTTCTGAATGATTTAAGAAAAAGTTGCAAACATTTACCTTTACCTCCAAATACTTCGGTCTGTATTTCCTAATAAGGATATCCTATTACCTAACCACACAACATTGATCAATTTCAGCAAATTTAGCATTGATATAATACTCTAGTCTATTGCATCCAGTTTTGTTAATTGACACAATATGTCCACTATTGAATTTTCCCCCCTCTGCCACAGGATCTAGTTAATGATCAGGCATTGCATTTGGTTTTCATTTCTCTTTAGTCTTCTTTAATCTTAAAAATTTTATAGCCTTTGTCATTTATGACGCTGTATAATATGAATCTAATTATGTATAATATGAATCTAATTAAATGTATAATTAAATGATAATATGAATCTAATTATGAGAAACATCAGACAAACCTAAAATGTAACAGAACATGAAAAATTATGGAAACATTTTAGTTTGTCTGATGTTTCTCATAATTAGATTCATATTATACATTTCTGATCGAAGAACTACATAAATGTTGTCTGTTCTCTTCAGGGTTTAATATCTAGAGGCACACGATATCCGTCTGCCCCTTATTGGTGATGTTAATTATGATCACCTGGTTCAGTTGTCAGATTTCTCCACTGTAGAGTTATAATTTTTCCCTGGCAACCAATAAACCATCTATTGGGACATACTCTAAGATCATGCAAATATTCTGCATCTCATAAATATTTGCTCCTAGCTTTAATATTCATTGATATTCTTGCCTGAACCATTCTTTGTTATGAGGGTTGCAAAATGATAATTTTACAACTTCAGCATTCCCTCCACATTTAGCAGTAAGCATTAGACATTCTATTGTAAGCAACGGTCTTTCCCTCTCCCTTTTATTTATTTATTTATTTATAATTTGGGATTCATATTTTTCTATTTAATGGTTTATAATTTATTACATTCCTTAATTATTCTGGTGCTAAAATATCCAGATAGAGTCAGTAGAAATTTCTTCAGGTTGGCTCCTTTGCCTTCAAGACATGTGCCCATTCTTATTTTTAGTAATTCCTTACTTTATAGCATAAATGATGTTCCAGGTTCATCTTGTACCTCCTGTGTCCCAGCTCTGGAATAAGTGATTTGCCTCAGGAGTCCTGGTTCTACAAAAAAGAATTATAAGTAAACATATGGTAAAATTGACTTTTTGTGTGTACAGTTCATTTTAATACATGTATAGATTCATGCAACCACCACCACAAACAGAATACAAAACAGTTCCAGCATCCCCCAAAATTCCCTCATGCTGTCCTTCGTAGTCATACTTGTCACCCTGCCCTCATTCCTAACTAACCCTTGGCAACCACTCATTTTTTTCTCCATCACCATAGTTTTTTTTGTCTTGTCTTTTTGAACATGTCATGAAAATAATACAGTATATAAACTGAAACATCTGGGACAGGAGATTCCTTTTCTTGTAGGTTATGAATTCAATGTATTTAATGGTTTAAAAATGAGTTTATTTCATTTTGAGTGAGTTTTGTAGTTTTCAAGGAATTAGTCCATTTCATCTAAATTGTCGAGTTTATGTGTATAGAGTTGTTCAGAGTGTTCCCTTATTACCTTTTAAATGTCTGTAATTTTTATTACCTTTTAAAAGTGTATAATTGTTTTCATTACTGATACTGGTAATTTGTATCTTCTTTTTTCTTTATCAGTCTTGTTAGAAGATTATCAGTTTTATTGATCTTTTCAAAGAACTGGCTTTTGGTTTCCTTAATTATTTTTTTTATTTTCAATTTCATTGATTTTTTGCTCTTATCATTATTCTTTCCTTCCTTCTGTTTGCCCTGGGTATAGTTCTCCAATTTCTTAAGGTACAAGCTTACATTATTCATATGAGACTTTTTTTCTTTTCTAATATAAGCATTGATGCTATCAATTTTCCTCTAAGCACTGCTTTAGCTTGATTTGTTGTACTATCATTTATTTATTTATTTTTTTTAGGCGAGACAACCCTTGGTTGACCTCACAGATTGCAAGGACCTTGTCAGCTTACAATCTTTTATTTTTTACACCTACAGCACCTGGTCTTCCTAGATGATCTCCCATCCAAGTAATAACCAGGCCCGACCCTGTTTAGCTTCTGAGATCAGACAGGATCAGGCTTGTTCAGGGTGGCATGGCCATAGAAAATTTGTTGTACCATCATTTTTGTTCAGTTCTAAATATTTTATAATTTCACTTGAGACTTACTCTTTGACCTTTTGATTATTTAGAAACATGTTGTTTAATATCCAAATGTTTGGAGATTTTCCTGTTATCTTTCTGGTTTTGATTTCTAGCCTAATTCTATTATGGTCAGATAACATACTTTGCATGATTTAAAATCTTTTAACTTTGTTAAGGATAACTTTATAACCTAGCATATGGTCTATATCGATTACAACTTCTGTGTATGCCTGATTATTGTTTCCACGTACAGTTGAAAAAAATGTGTATTTTGCTGTTGTTGGATGGAGTGTTCCATAAATGTCAATGAGATCCATTTGGTTGAGTTTTTCTATATGCTAATTTTTTGTCTAGTAGTTCTATCAATTGCTGAGGGAGGAGTGTTGAAACGCCAACTATAATTGTCAATTTATCTATTTTTCTTTTTAAGCAACAGTTTTACTTCATGTATTTTGACACTTCTGTTTACGGTATACACATTTAGGATTATTACATATTTTTGGTAAACTGACCCTTGTATCATTATGTAATGCTCTTCTTTATCGTTGGTAGTTTTCTTTGTTCTGAGACTTCATAGCTCTTAGCTATTATTTCTTCAAATAATACTTTGTCTGATATTAATATAGCTACTCAGATTTATTTTGGTTTGCATGTTATATCTTTTTTTCCATTCTTTTCGTTTAAATCTAGCTGTATCATTACATTGGAAATGAGTTTTGTAAACAGCATGTAGTTATGCCATTTTAAAAAATCCATTCTGACAATGTCTGTGTTTTAATTGGTACATTTAAACCTCTACATTTAATATAATAGTTAATATGTTTGGATTGTCTACCATTTTATTATCTGTTTTCTACTTGTTTCCTCTCTTTTTGTGTCTTATTTCCCTTTTCCTGCCTTCTTTGGGGTTATTTGAATTTTTCTAGTATCCCATTTTATCTACTATGGGCTTTTAAAAACTTTTACTGTAATGTGCAGTGTGTGTGTGTGTGTGTGTGTGTGTGTGTGTGTGTGTGTGTGGTTGCTATAGGGATTATAATATACATACTTAACTTTTCAGTCTACTTCCAATTGGAGTTTACCAATTTATTGTTGAAACCTTACCACCATATTAATCTCTTAACTCTCCCTCCTATCTGATGTAGTTACATTCATATACACAGAAAATTCTATCAAGCAATATAATTTTTGCTTTCAACCATCAAACACTTTAAAGAATTCAGAGGAGAAGAATGGTCTATTATATTTACTCAGATATTTACCATTTCTATTGCTCTTCCTCTACTCCTAGTGTTCTCCATTTCCTTCTGGTATCATTTGCCTTCTCTTTGAAGAACTTTCTTTAGCAATCCTTTTTGAGAAGATCTTCTGGTAATGTATTGTCTTAGTTTGACCTTCATTTGAGAATATCTTTATTTCACCTTCCTTTTTCAAGGATGTTTTCTCTGGATATATAATTCTGTATCGACATTCATTTAGCACATTAAAAATGTTATTTCATTTCCTTTTGGCCTCCATAGTTTCTGATGAGAAATTACAGCCATTCAAATCATAGTTCTATAAGTAATATTTTTACTCCGTTTGCTTTCAGTATTTTTTTCAGTCTGATTATGAAGTATATATCATGAATTTTTTGTTTGTTTGTTTGAAGTTGGCTGAGCTTTTTGACTGGTAGATGAATATGTCTTTCACCAAACTGGGGAAGTTCTTAGCTATTACTTCTTCAAACACTTTTTCTATACTGTACTCTTTCTCTTCTTTTTCTGGAATTCCAACACAAATGTTAGACCTCTTGATATTGTCCCTCGAGGCTCTGCTTATTTTTAAAAATCTTTTCTTCTCTATTGCTCAGACTGAATAATTTATATTGATCTATCTTTAAGTACACAGACACTTTCCTCTGTTAACTCCATTCTACTATTGAGCACACCAGTAAGTTTTTTATTTTGGTTATTATTCAGTGGGGTCTGTGGTGATATCCTCCTTTTCATTCCTAATACTAGTAATTTGAGATTTTCTTCTTTTCTTGATCAGTTTAGCTAGAGGCTATCAGTTGTTAGTCTTTCAAAGAACCAACTTCTTATTTCGCTATTTTTCCAAATTTTTGTCCATATTCTAGTTCACTGATTTCCATTCTTACATTTATAATGTCCTCCCTTTTGCTTACTGTTTAATCTGCTCTTTTTTTCTAGCTCCTTAATGTGGAAGTTTAGATCATTTAGTTTTAAATCTTCTTTTTTAATATTAGCTCTTAGAAGTATAAATTTCTCTTTAAAGACTACCATAACTACATCCCATAAATTTTGATATGTGGTTTTAATCATCATTCCCTTCAAAATATTTTCTGATTTCTTTTGATTTCCCCTTTGACCTATGCATTAGTAAGGGGCATATTTGCTTAATTTCAAAACATTTGGAGATTTTTCCCAGATAACTTTTCATTAGTGATTTTTAATGTAATTATATTATGGCCAGTTAATAGGTAAGATAGCATACACTGTATTGTTTCAAACTTTTAAAATATATTAATATTTATTTTGTGTCTAGCATATAGGTTATATTAATGAATATTCCAAATGTACTTGAAAAGAATGTGTATTCTTCAGTTTTGGGTGGAGAGTTCAATAAATGGCAATTAGATACAGTGGTTTACATTGTGTTTTCTTTACTGATTTTGTGACTATTTGTTCTATTACCAAGAGAAAAGTGTTGAGAACTCCAACTGTAATTGTAGGTTTCTTTACTTTTTCCGTTCATATGCCAGTTTTTACATCATATATTTGGAAACTTTGTAATTCTATGAGTACACATTTAAAACTGTAGTCTTTTTGATGAATAGATCCTTTTTTATATTTTTAAATTAAATTTGTTGGAGTGATGTTGATTAATGGTTATGTAGGTTTCAAGTGTACAATTCAGTAATACAGCAGCTGTATATTGCATTGTGTGTTTGCCACCCAAAGTCATATCTCCTACTATTACCATACATTTGACCTCCTTTATCCTTTTCTACCTCCCCCCGCCTTTCATTCTGGTAACCACTATATTGTTGTCTGTGTCTATGAGCTTTTGTCTGTCTTGTTCGTTTTTTGCTTTTAGTTTTATATCCACATATGAGTGAAATCGCATGGTTCTCAATTTTTTCTGACTTATTTTAGCTTAGCAAGATCCATCTATGTTGTCACAAATGGCAGTATTTCATCTCTTCTTATGGCTGAGTAATATTCCACTGTACATATGTACCACATCTTCCTTATCCAAACATCTACCGAAGGACACTTCAGTTGTTTCCATGTCTTGGCTACCATGAATAGTGCTGCAATGAACATTGGGGTACATATCTCTTTATGAATAAACATTGGCGGATTTTTTGGGTAGATACCTAGAAGAGAAATTGTTGGGTCATAAAGTAATTCTATTCTTAATTTTTGAGGAACCTCTATACTGTTTTCCATAGTGACTGTAACAATTTACATTCCCACCAGCAGTGTATGAGGGTTCCTTTTTCCTCACAACCTCTCCAACACTTGTTATTACTTGTCTTATTGCCATTCTTACAGGTGTGAGGTGGTATCTCATTGTGGTTTTGATTTGCATTTCTCTAATAGCTAGTGAAGTTGGGCATCTTTTCATATATCTGCCGGCCATTTGTACATCTTCTAGGGAGAAGTGTCTGTTCAGATCCTCTGCCCATTTTTTTATTGGATTGTCTTTTTGTCATTGTTGTTGATGTTGAGTTGTATGAGTTCTTTACATATTTTGGATATTAGCCCCTTATTGAAGGTGTTGCTTGCAAATATCTTCTTCCATTCAGCTGGTTGCCTCTTTGTTTTGTTGATGGTTTCTTTTGTTGTGCAGAAGCTTTTTAGTTTGATATAGTCCCATTCATTTATTTTTGCTTTGACTTCTCTTGCCTTTGAGGTCAAATTCA